ATCGCGCCTCTTTTACCGCTAATGGAAAGAATGTCGCCATTCATGTGCCAATTGGTATGACAAGAATTCAATAAAAATTGCTGAGAAAAAAAAAAATTTATATCATTTTTCGTATCGTCATCTGAGGTGAATTTTGAGGGGCCAGTGGAGTTTTCCAGTCGCTTCCGCAATTCCGCCATTTTTTTTTTTTATTTAATGCTTTAGAAACCCTATTTGGGTTTATTAGCGAATCTACATATCTACATATACTGATTAGTCAATAGATATCAATTGTTATATCTTTAATTCACATTGTTTCAAGTATCCTCCCATTGCTGTCAAAACTCTCGGGTCCAGGCTGATGAGGATGGAGTTGATATGTATCGGGAATTGGACCCATTTCTTCAGATTTTCCATTAGTTTTTTCCTTTGTGAATCGAATTTACTGGCAGCCACTCTTATCATTCAAAGTCAGTGTAATTTATTATTTGTTGAGCCACTCTGGAAATTTCAGTGTTAAATTATACTGAATTTTCAGTGAAATTAGAAATTTCATGTTTTTTTATCCCATTTTTCTTTTAGAATACAATAAACAATAATGAAAAGTTACTCAAGGCGACACTAATTGCGCGTAATAATTAATATTCAAGAATTAATTTTGCCTCATTCACCTTCAGTGTGACATATTCAGGAAATTGGTTTTGCTGATGATGACAGCATTTTGCTGTCTTAAGGATGTTCTGCAGTTATTTTGTTATTTTTCCTGTTTTTCTGAGATTTATTGAAAACTATCGATTGGATTGAATCGGATTGGGATATGAAAATATAGTGTTTGTTCGTTACATCATGATTTATCATTTCATAAAATTTCATTCCGATACACCAATTTTTATAATTTTTCACTAAAATTTATTGATTTTTTATTAAATTCTGTGGAAATCATTGCTAATAAGAGTGTCACGCCCACTTTATCTGTGAATAATCCCTGGATTTCAACTGTCTTCAAAAATCTTGTAAGATATTCTGAAGGAAAGTACACGAAAAAATTAGCGTCTCCTCCCAGGAATGACTCCTCCATTTTCCTGAATACAAATTTTTCATGAGAAAATGTGAATAACCCTTGTGCCATGAAAACCGTGGAAATGTATATTATGAAAAGTATTGGGGCAGGCCAGTGGTATCAATGGAGCCAGTGGGGTTGAGTATTTCCCATGCTAACCAGTGGCCACAAGGTGGTCCAGGGGCACTAAAATATTGTGTATTCACACCCCCCCTTTTTTCCAGTCTCATCTGAACTCCCATGGGGTGCCTCCGAGAGGATGAGCACCTGCCAGCCACCTTTACTTCCTCCGATACTGAACCTTGTGAAAAATCTCGGCTGAGTACCTCCCAGTCTCGGGATATTGTGAAAAAAATACCGGAGGTGAACAGCTGGGGGGAAGCATCCATTTGGATGGGATAAAGAGGGGTTAATTAATTTGTGGGGTGGGGTCGAATAATCAATGTTTGTAGACTGCCATCGATCTTTTACCACTTTCCCACGTAAACGAATTTATACCGTGACTGGTCTAATCACCGTCCCGCAGGAGTGGAGTAAGATTGAAGTCTCACCGAACTGTGTGTAACGACGGACTCGAGTGATCACTGAGAAGAGATTACCGGTGCTGATGGGAGTGTAGAAAATTCACAAGAGACATTTCACCGGGTGAAGTGCAAGAGATAAGATAGGAAAAAAAAATCTGGGTTTCTCAAGAAATTTTTCGCGTTCCAACGTTCCTCCAGAGACGAGAGACCCCTTTTTTACCCTCAAGTAATTATCTCAATTTTACATTAATTAATTTAAGTGCAACTACATTAATTCAGTGTCCATTTTGTTCGAAAAGTTCTCAGTTGAGATACAATAATAATTTACATCAAATATGTAATTCTGACTGCTTTTAATTGTCCAGAAGTTTCATGAGAAAAAGATGATGAAAAAGATGAAAATTGGAGAGGCGTAATGTAGAATTCTAACTGATGATTCGTCTGTGGCTCGTGTCACATTAAATTTTTTTTTATTTGATCTCTAATTGAGGTATTCCACGAAAATAGCGCAGTGTCAAGATATTTCTCAGGTGATGCTGGCATATAACGTGTCTTGTCCCCAGTCGACAAGCCAACCAACTTGCATTTTATCGACGTCACATCGGGTCTCATCGATTCACCTCAGATTTATAGCGGGAACATGTTAAACCAATGGTGGGTTCAGTACAAACACAGTTTATTTGAAAAA